CATCTAAAGCACCGATTTCGCTCTTGCGCTTTGAGGAAACCTGGAAATGTACGAGTCAAAAACAGTATCTACAAAGGTGGTGAAACCCAGCACACATGTACCTCTTTTAAAGCAAGTTTCTCGTCGAGAAGGATCGATTCCAAAATTTCTTTAATGACGGGACCCGTTTTCTAGAATAAACGAACGAATATCAATTTTGAAAGTACGTCACGGTTATAAATTGTATAAGACAACAAGAAAAAACCCCAGACGTATGCCACACGAGGAACGTCACCCATACCACGGGAAGGAACGTCACCCTCCCTGGCTGTGTGGCAGCAGAAGGCATGCGCGGGACGTCACCACCCTGGTAAGGAACGTCACCCTTCCAGAGCTGCATAATCCTTCTGGTCTGGAATATCTTGTAAATAGAAAGAATAAACCTGTTTTAGGAGGAAATCCGCCATGCATCGCTTCTCTTTGACTTCCTTTTTGTTTCCGGATATGTCTTTGAGATACAACGTATAGCGTTTCTTCAATGTTGACACTAAGTCGTCGCTTAGAGTAGAGGTCGACCAGAAACCCTTGGCTGCGGTTAAAAAGCCCGTGAATGACCAAGCCGTGTAAGGAGTCTCTTCGAAATACGAAGTCGCTGCCGCGTCTAAGGTTTGAGATAATAAGTACTAGAACTAACAAATTTGGGTTAATTCAGGCATTACCGAAAAGTATCAAGTTAAACCGGCCGTCCATATCGGGAAGCAATTGCACTCGCGGGCTCGCTTCATATAAATACGCGTAAATGGTAAATAAATTTGATTGGTTGATATCATTAGCCCGTGCACGAAAAAAATTTTACAATCACGTGAAAAATATTATTATTATCAGCATTTTGTCAGAGAATTTAAAGACGTTCACTTGTCCCGCCAATCTATACTGATAATGAATAATTCAAGGAAAATACTAATAATTTTGAAAGTACCAATTATATCAGATACTGGACATGACTAGACACAGCCACATGATAAAGGTTCTGGGTTTCAGATTCATTTTCTGTTTGTAAAAGTTCTTCACTGTAGAGGTTCTGATGATATGCTTCCTTCCAAGGTCTTTGATCTTGTTCTTAACCCTGAGATACATTTTGGACATACTAATTTCCTCTTTGTATTTCTCGTAAATTTCTGCATAACTCCGACTGTTGTACAAGGATTTTTTGGACGATCTGCACGGTGTAACGAAACGGAAATGCACTCGATACATCGGTGCAATAATACATCGCGATGCCCTGAATGCAGCGGATATACTGATCGTAGTATTTTAACGACTAGCTGCTAAAATAAATCGTAAATAGAAGCCGAAAGATATAAAAGCAGCAGGAGTAGCAGCTAGGATCGGTAGACTGTGTTGACTGTGTTGAACTGGGTTCACGTATAGTCGAAGACGTTCGATTTCCTTTATTATTTCCTTATTATTATTATTAATAAACGAGTATTCATTTACTCTGATAATTATATTCTATTCTCTGATTCATCCGTTATTATTGTAAAGCATCCGCATAACGGATAAGGCTAATCGATTTCTTGTTCCTCGGTTAGCTGAGTGGCAAACACGGTTGTTCATTGTTTTAGCATGTGTAATTTATTTTTGAGACCCCAACCGTCAGACTACCGAACTAATTAATATCTACTGTCGGATGGTGTATTATATCCGCGTTGAGTTCCCATTCTTTCTTACTGAACTTGATTGGTAAGTTTTCGATTCGGCCTTCGCAATTTCTACTGAGACCTGCTATCCCCATAATTCTAACATTTGTTTCTTTTAATTCAAGGGTTCCTAATTTTTGTGCAAGCCTATCATAGCATGCTTTCGAGACTAGAGTAAGTACCGACCCAGTATCAACTAGAGCGACAATTTCCTCTCCCTTCACGTATGCCTTACAACAGATCGGTCCTTCATCATCAGATGCTCCGTATTGCTGCGCGGCATTAGAGGGTCTTTTAGGTATTGCGGACGCGCCTTTGTCCTTTAAGGGCGTCCTCTCCCTTTTCCCGATGGGGCAGCTTTTCGTGCCTTGGCCCAACAATCTTTCTGCATATGTCCATATCCTTTACAATTAAAGCACTGTACTCGTTTCTTATTCTTGAACCAGCATGTTTCTTCATTATGTCCCATTTTGTTGCAGTTTGCACATCGCACGCTGTGCAATACTCTCGGATATCTTTCGCGTTGGATTGCTTGTGTTTCGGATTTGTGTGCGTTATTTAGTTTCCGTAAATCCTCAACTTCTTTCTTCATTTCCGCTACTTGCGCTAATAATCCCGTTACCATGGGACTTTCTTCTTCCATGGTTAAATACGATGCGTGTCCGGAGCCGTGATAGACGCGTTTACTTGCTGCTATCGCTGCATCCAGATCTTGCGGATTTTGCGCTTTTACGTGATTCTGGATCGATGGGTCCAATCCGGAAATGAATTGGCTCATTTGGATTTCGGGTGGTATTACCACTCCAGTGGCTTTCCAAATTCGGCTGAGTTTGTTTGCATATTCCACAATATTTTCTCTAGGTCGTTGTTTTCTTTTCCACATTTGCGCTAATGCGCTCTCCCTTTCTTCAGGTCCTTGGAAATGAGCTAAGAATATTTCCTTGAAGTTTCGGTCGGCTCCGTCATTCCCTCCTGTCCAATGGGTGAATGCGGATTGACTAGCAAACCAATTAACGAATTTGCCTAAATGGGCAGCTGCGATATTGACTTTTCGGTTGTCAGCTACATTGTTAGCCGCAAACGCTATGTCCATTGTTTGGATCCATGTGGCTGGTCCGGATCCATCAAATACGGGATAATCTGCGTTGCGTGCCATCGGTTCTTGTTGGATTGGGTTTGGTACTGGATTTGGGAGTGGATTTGGAAGTGGATTTGCTATTGGTTGTGGCGGTATTTGCGGTACGACTAAGATTTGCGGCTGCTCTTGTGGTACTTCTTGATTTTGTGGCAGTGGCGGTAGTACTAAGTCGAGGCATTGTACGTTTTCGTTCTCAGGAGTAAGTAATCCCTTGTCTAACTCCTTTTGCTTGCCTTTATCTAACGCTTCGTTTTCGTTCTCGGATTCGTTTTCAGAATCGAATAGGTTCTCAGTTCCTGGTAATTCACGTGCTGCGGCTTGACGTTCGAATTCTTGTTCTTGTTCGTATTCCTGACGCGCTTGTTCTAATTGCTGGACGTCAGTAGGGTTTGTAGGGTCAATAGAATCCCTGTATGTGGTTTGGACTGTTAAAGGCGCTGGACGTGATTGATTATTTTCTTCGGTACAAAATAAATTTTGGAACTGACGAATTAGTCGACTCCCTTGCTGAAATTCCTGTCGAAGCGGTGTAAATGTTCGGTTGACTGGTGTATCTGGGTAAGTTATCTGGATTGGTTGAACGTCGACTGTAGTTACTATCCAATTGTCGATTACTTCTTGTTGGTAATTTTCGATTTCTTCCTCGGTTAATTCGGATGGTAAATCTACTGTGACGTCATAGCCAGGGTTGAGTATATTTCTTGCGAGTAGCGTATAACTTGCTGGTATTTTCCAAAACGTGAAAGTTTTCAGATGTCTGGCTAGATTTTCCGCTGACCGATTTCGACCAGCCCAAAATTTGAAGTATTCAAGCTGGTTTTCTCTTGATATAGTTAATTGGGGTTCAAATTCTGAAAGTCTGTACGCGAATTGATGGTATCCGTCGTCTTCTAAATCTGCTGGGGTGTCACAAATAGTACAGCTATTGTCGGGATATGGGATTAAATTTGCTGTGTCCGTTTCTTTTCCTAGTATATGGACGTATCGATGCTGGACAGAATGTTTTCTTTTTCTGATTTGTCGGGTTTGGCTTCTAGTCTCAGGTCTTCTGCTTGAGCTTGCGCTCATTCACTTTTGTTTAATTAGTTATGTCGATTTTCTTTGTATCCTTTCTTAGGATATCCACGGAATCCCCACCAACTGTTGCGGTCGGTGTATTCTTTGGGTGGAAGAGCCAATGATCTGTCGCGTAGGTGTGTTCACCGGCAGGGGGATGTTACCAAATTTAACTCAGATCGCTACCCTTACTAATAGCGATTGTCTTTACGACTGAATCAAATTTATAAGTGACTATATTTAATTATGCGCGCTTAACTAACTCCCTAAACGAAGTAAAACTATACTCGTTTCTAAGTAAGGGGTACCTATAACAATATCGTTACAACTACAATATTGCTACAGAATCGAAGGGGAATATTTTTATATTTAGTTTAAACAGGGCGGACTTCGATTTAGTGTTTTGACTAGTCGAGTACCTTGTCACTTAATTTAACTGATAACTAATTAAACGAATAAACGGGAGAATCTTATTTGAATATTAATACGACTCGCGTGCACTCTTTAATCAGGTGTATCTTGCTCAACGGGTGTATCGCTAACCGAAGTATCTGCGATTTCGCTAACCGAAGTATCTACGAATAGTCTGTAAGCAAGCTATCTCAGACGTCAACCCGGCAAGTATCAATATTCAAACTTCGATAATATAGAAAGATAATAAAATATGGATAGTATATTATTGTATTCAAAAGGAATTCGCAATGATTTTATTTCCTTGGATAAGAACAAATCCGTGGATTATTAGATCAATTATTTCAAACAATGTATCGAACCGAACAACAAACTAACAACATGATGTTTTGACGATGAGAGAAGCGCTACTTATATAAGACTTTTGCCATCAAAATTAGTGACGGAAAATTACTAAGTTTAGCTATTGTTTATATTTTGTACTGCCACCAAAAAGAGTGACGGAGAATTACAAAGTTTAGCTATTGTTTGTATCTCGTACTGCCACCATTTTCCGTGACGGAAATTTACTACATTTGAACTCTAGTGAGTGTGACAGTACTAAAATTAGATCGCTGCGGGTGGTACTTTGACTGCGGAGGAAGATTTTATCACCTGACTTACTCGACTGCATCAGCAGACCGACTCGTCGTAACAATAGGACTAAGACACTAAAAAAATAGTCTGGATTTGAGCATAAGCCACAGCTATAAATTGAGCAAAGCCTTACCAAAATGTTACCAGCTAAATTAGTTGATTTCCAGCCACATCAGCATCTTTTTAGCTCACATGATCAAATGTTCACTTTGTCTGGTTTTGTTGCGGTCTGCCCCATATATAATTACATTTAGGACAATCAGTATAAACTTCCTTGTCCCACAAGTAGTTTTTCTAAACCTAACTGATTATGGGCTAATACTAATGCATGCTTGTGAATTGCAGCAAGTGTTATTATTATGGTAAAGAGATATCATTAACAGAGTAATTTTGTGTATGTGAACGCTTGCTGCCAAAGATACAGGGAATTGAGTTTATTCACTGCCACGGGTCAGATTCGATATTTTTTCGTTATATTTATTTAATAGTAAGACGCACATAAAGTATTGTTCAAATGCACGATCAATAAAGTTGTTCTTTACAAATACTTGTTGCAAATCAAATGTATTTGATTATTCCTTTTCAAAGTAAACTTTATAATAATTACAACAGCAACATACACATTAATTCATGAATATTAATAATAATACAAGTAATGTAGTTTATTATAAATACAACAAAGCCTACAGATACAACAAAATCCATAATTCTGACCATTTATCTTTGTTAAATATCAAACTTTTTATCTTTCTAACAATCAAATCTCAGATATTTTAATATCCTTCTCAGCAGGCGCCTCGATACCTCCTCTGCGAGTTTTATTTTTTACGACGTTGTCTACGTTTACAACGTATTCCCTTAAAAAGAACTCCAGTGAAAGCAGTCTTTGTTCAACCGCTACAAATTTCTCGTCGCTCGAAAGATTTTTTGATAATACAGGGCCCACGAACGGAATATTTGGATTGTCGCTATCGTCTTGCTGGTTTCTCTCAAATTCCCTGTAATGACTTAGACGATCGTAGAGCGTAGACCTAACTTTGCGGCGGATGCACGGCAGATTTTGAATCAAACCCCATGGACTCATTTCATCAGAGCCTGTGAAAAAAGAAGAGTAATCGATATAGACGCTTAACAAAATACGCACGCTTGACAGAAAAAGCAGAGTAATAAATCCAAGGAAGTGGATAGAATTTCGTTCACATACCGTATAAGAACATATAGACTCCCATTACAGCAGTGTAAATACCACCCACAGCGCTGAGGATATCACTTACCGTCAAATCGCTAATGTTAAAGAGTTAACGTATGTTAGCATAAAAGTATTCAATAACATTAGCAATATTCCTTTTTTTATTCGAGCCGTTTGTGTCACGTATACTCACGAGTTTTCGATTTCCGTTATGACTACATAAGAATTAGGTCTTATAAATACAGTCGCATAACTTCCGACAGCGGAGTTGGGGTACGATACTAAAAGCAAAATGTGTGATTAGGATGCAATTTCTCTCTCGATAAAGCGGGGCTCGCTAATATAAATAAGTATAAAATGTTCGTTCTTCCAGCTTACCGAATACGCTGCTTATCAATGGTATAGGTTTATGATCGCCGTTTTTTCCAGACAGTACGTTTACAACATTTCGATTGAGGGGTTCGGGTATTTTGCGTTCAAAAAAAAACGAGTACGACTAATTCACGTGAGGATTGTTGCTATTAGCAATATTGAAATATATATATAACACGCTCATTGCATTGATTGACGTGCTAAAATTCGCCCACCTGGTTGTTAGCGAGGTAGTAATTGTTACCAACCCATGCCGTAGACATGTAATTATTAACTCCTTTTAAGCCTGGACTTTGGGACGCTAATGTCAAATCAGCCAACGCCTCTAAGGGGAGGTTTAATCAAAATTGTTTTTGTTAGCATAGCATAACGATCTTGTTCATGTAAATTGTATAGAATACATTAATTGTATACCTCCATCAGTAAACCACGCTTGCAGATAAGCATCGCCGCCAGTAAACGCTGGATCAGTTATATCCGTTTTATCAACCGCCAAGATAATGCTTAGTAAGGTGGGCCCGTTTGCATTACCGTGAGGGTCATGAAACCCCAAGTCAGATGCCTTGAAGGTTTTCGAGTAACCACCATTGACATTTTGATAGGTGTTGACATACTTATTACAATCGCCAGTCGCTAAATATCAAATTAACGCACACGTGTCAATATTGGTTATTAACGAATAGAAAATAACGTCACTGTTTCAACATACAATCATCATAATAGATCGTCGTGCAGCTGACTGTGAAGTTAAAAGAAGAGAAAAAAAAGACGGCTGAAAGTAAAAGAGAATGACTTAATATTAAATTCAATATCAGTTTCATTTGCATTAATAGGAAAGATTACGCACTTGGGGCAGGAATGGTACTATTGTCTTTTTTATAGGTAAAAGTTCTCTCATCTTGACTCAGCTTATATGCTTTCCAGCAAAAATAGATTAATACGCCTATGTAGCAAAGCCATAAAAATGATATTCTCGACCTTCTGATAACAGTGAGCTCAGAACGTCGTGAAGGAAATCTGTTGATAATGAAATTTTTTATCGATTTTGTCATGGTGAAATATAACAACGGGGTGAAATTTTAAATCGCCGAGACTGGTCAATATATTTCTAGGGTATCCTTTGTTATGCAAGAATAATCCGACTATTGGGAAAAGCGCGGGGGTATTTATAACATTTATCTTTGGCATACTGTTGTATATTTAACAATTCTGCACATTTTGCAATATTATCAGGAAACGTAATGATCTATTGTTTGGATGATTTTATAAAACTAATGGTAATAGTAACGCTGACAATGTCAAATAAAATATTTAAATTTGTGATCATCGTCATTGTCTGAAATTTAACCTAATACTAATTTGACTGCCCCGAGTTGGCCGATCACAACTTTTGGCTAGAACTTTTTTTCCCCCCTTAATCAATTTGAGTAACAGCAAAATAAATCATGTGATAAGGATGCCGTAGCAGAATAATGGTGTAGCTTTCATTGCCAAGTGAATGTCATTAAAATACACTCAACCATCTTCTGCAAACCACAAAACTCTTTCCGTGTCATCAAATCAAAAAAAAGTCGGGTTTACCCACGCACAAAATTTAGTTTCATATTATCGCTCAGAATTGGTTCTTTGGCAAAACTTGCTTTCCAACAAGATTGCAAATGGCTTTGTTTTTACCGGAATAGGTATAGGTATTCATCTTTTGTTAGCATGTTAAAATTGTGTGCACGGTGTTTGTCGTGTTGTTTAGGTCTGCATATTGTCCCACGACATATTAACTTGTCTTGTGCGTGCTCGTAAACTTTTTTTTATGAAAATCTTTTCTAAGCAAGACCGTTGACAACCTATGTTCTTAAACACATACTGTATCTTCTGAATTGTCGTTCATCGAACCAAGTTTCCATACGTAAGTAATTCTTCACGTTAAAAGAATTTGAGCTTTAAGCGGTTGTTTGTTTCACACGTCGATCGAATGCAGGGTAATGATCAAGTGAACAGATATTAATATTGACGTTACACGACGCTTCGGAGAATCAACTACCGATGCATACAAACGTTACCGTATATTCCAAGCAATCCATTGCAGCTATTTTAATATGACTAACTATATATTTACATTTTATTATAATGACTTATTTGTTTGTTTGCTGTCTGTTTGTGCTGACACTATTGAACTCCGAAATGAAGCTGCCCAAAATAGATTCTTTATCAGTGTTGCATAAATCACCGTAATTTGATCAGATATACTAAACTATTTTGTCTTCCGGAAGAGGGGAGCAGATATTTGCTGTATACGTTACTAAATACAGTTCGACTTGCACTGTCAAAGAACGATTTACAGTCAAAGAAGCGTTAATTACTAAGTCGATGAATCCCTAATCGTCGAGATTATTACTGTTTCCAGAAAAATTGTTAGTCGAAAGTAATTTCTCGTTTTTATAATCTACACCGTGAAGTCCGGTTTAACAAAGATGGCTTTGTAATGAAGTTTTCTCTGGATTGAGTTTAAAAACTAGCAGTTGAACAAGATTTATAATTAAAATTAATACAATTATTTAACAAACACGTTGTGCGAAAATGGTAGTGCATAAATGAAATTCTTAATGATAGAACAGCACAACAGATTTGTTTATGTGAGGAACGTTACCATATATTAAATTTTGTTCTAAAAATATCACCGTGACGTGCAGACAAAACCAAAAACATACTAGACGATTTATTAGCTTCGATGAGATAATCAAGCAGTAAAGATAATGTTCTATTGTCGAATACTCATTTTATCGGAACAGAGCACTTTCTAAATTGGACTGCATTATGTAATAACAAATGGCGTAAACTAGGAATTTTAAGGAAACAGGTATATACAGTCAACCATCCATATATGAAAATGTCTTATTCCCCAAGCTTGGGAGTTAGTAAATGTATTCACACCCTCCATATTCTGCATTGCGGTTTTGTTCACTTCCCACTATATAAATTCTACCCTCTCTATGTGCACGCCCGCAATTTTCATGTGATTTGACAAACGATAATTATAATTACGCGAGATATTTAAATTAATCAGAAGTTGTGGATCTCTTACCAAATAGCATTTGATTGATGGATTTTTGAATAAACCGGGAAGAAGAAATAATTATAAAGTGCCCAATGACGACGCATTTATTGAAGAGCTTGACAAGACCATCAGACATTCGTATTGATGGTAGTGAAATTGGTGTCAGCTAAACCACCAATAGTTAATGTCAACGATCGTTAGAATTAGTTTCATTCCCTTTCGCAACAACAAGGGAATTACTCAAACATGTTAATGCTCTTGATTATTATATCGGTTTAAAGTTGGTGAATGCAAAGAAACAAACAACGATGGTCAATTATTTTTAGCCAGCAACAGTAGAGCAAACGGTTATTTTATTTTTGTCTTTCATTATATATTATATCAATATCACGTGAAACCAATAAGATCTATATTAATATATGCAAAATAAACTTGTTTCACTTTTTCATAATCGAAAAAAACCCCCCCAACCAACTTATTATTCTAAAGCTGAAGATATTCAGCGATGAGGCTTTGTAACATAGCAACTAAATTTTCTATATCAGTTATTATTATTTTGATTATTTTTTAAAAAAACAAAAACAAAACAAAAACAACGCCTGGGTTGTAAAGTTGTTACCTGGTTGAGTAATTGTTTCCTTGTTTGGTCATTCCACTTTGCAAATTGCGTTGATAGCGCATTACGGCTTTGCCTGATCACAGTGTATTAATATTTTGGGGGGTTAGATATCGGTAGTGTTACAAACATAGGGGAAGCCTCATATGAAAATCCATAAACGAAGTTTTTTTCT